TATAAAACATCAATTTCTCACTCCAATTTATTTCATAAATTTATAATTTTTAATCAAACAATTTTTTTGTGTTCTCTTTCTTTTATAATGAATGGGACCGCTTGCATCCCAGCCAAACAACTTGGTTTTTATCAAACAGTTTTATTGCTTAACACGATTTCGTTCTTTTAGCAATGTAACTTTCGGATCAGCTGGTAAGGTTTTGCCTTGAATGATCCTGCTTCCGCCGCCATTTGCCCATCTGCTGTTTAAAAAGGTGATTCTCACGTTTTCCGTCTTCAGCGCACTTCGTTGAGCAGCCAATACGAAAGTGACCCGTTCTCTTGCCCGCCGTATCTCCCTCATGGCCTCCTCTTCTCTGTTTCAGGGTTCTCCATTCACCTTCAAATGCAAGTCCTCCGTTCCATGCCCACCAACCAAATCCAACGCCTTACCCAATCATCTCATCATCAAAGCTCAATCTCAATCTCAATCTGGATCGCCAAGTACCCAGAACAACTCTGTCCCCTCTGCTCCGAAACAGCGTCGCCCCGCCGACGAGAACATTCGCGAGGAGGCTCGCCGTATCAATGTTGGCCACCGCCATCAATTTTCTGCCAAGTACGTCCCTTTTAACGCAGACCCTTCGTCTACGGAGTCCTACTCTCTGGACGAGATCGTGTATCGGTCCCAATCTGGTGGGCTGCTTGATGTTCAGCACGATATGGAAGCGTTGAAGAAATACGACGGCGAGTATTGGCGCAACCTTTTTGACTCTCGGGTGGGTAAGACCACGTGGCCTTATGGGTCCGGCGTTTGGAGCAAGAAGGAATGGGTGTTGCCCGAGATCGATAGTGACGATATTGTGAGCGCTTTTGAGGGGAATTCGAATCTGTTCTGGGCTGAGCGTTTTGGCAAACAGTTTCTGGGCATGAACGAGTTGTGGGTGAAGCACTGTGGGATTAGTCACACTGGGAGCTTCAAAGATCTCGGTATGACTGTATTGGTGAGCCAGGTCAATAGATTGCGAAAAATGAATCGACCTGTTGTGGGTGTTGGTTGTGCTTCTACAGGTGACACTTCTGCTGCTTTATCTGCATATTGTGCTTCTGCAGGGATCCCATCAATTGTTTTCTTGCCCGCAAATCGGATTTCTATTGCTCAATTGGTCCAGCCAATTGCAAATGGTGCTTTTGTGTTGAGCCTTGATACTGATTTTGATGGGTGTATGCAGTTGATAAGGGAAGTCACCGCCGAATTGCCTATCTATTTGGCTAATTCTTTGAACAGCTTGAGACTGGAGGGGCAGAAGACCGCAGCTATTGAGATTTTGCAACAATTTGATTGGGAAGTCCCTGATTGGGTCATAGTGCCAGGAGGAAATTTGGGGAATATATATGCATTTTACAAGGGGTTTCGAATGTGTAAGGATTTAGGACTTGTTGATAGGATTCCAAGGCTTGTTTGTGCTCAAGCTGCAAATGCGAATCCCCTGTATTTATACTTCAAGTCTGGATGGAAAGAGTTTAATGCCATAAGGGCTAGCCCTACCTTTGCATCTGCCATACAAATTGGCGATCCTGTTTCCATAGACAGAGCTGTCTATGCCTTGAAGAATTCAGATGGAATTGTTGAGGAAGCAACTGAGGAAGAATTAATGGATGCTATGGCTCAAGCAGACTCCACTGGCATGTTTATTTGTCCCCATACTGGGGTTGCTTTGACTGCACTGATTAAACTGAGAAACAGTGGGGTCATAAAGCCTACAGATCGGACTGTTGTTGTGAGTACTGCTCATGGATTGAAGTTTACCCAGTCAAAAATTGATTATCATTCCAGAGCTATAAAGGATATGGCTTGCCGATTTGCTAACCCACCAGTGCAAGTGAAGGCTGACTTTGGGTCAGTCATGGATGTTTTGCAGAAGTATTTGCTGAGTAAGGCTCCAAAGCATTAATTAGACATGCCATTTTTGCTCTTGATTATCAGTCTACCTAGGTACTGTAATGTCTTTATAGTGGCTTCAAGTTTTTGTGTTCTAATAGCATTCTGTACGGTGCTCCTGTTCTATTTTGCTTATTGTTGTAGACTATCTTTGTTGAGCGTTTCATGGCCCTGAGACGCGAATTTGATCCAATTTGAATTCCAGATCAATCTAATACTTTTCTCACTGCGCATTAATCTGAGGGGTGAACATTCTGAACTGGGCCGTGAGTTCTGAAAAATAACAGAACCACGTTGCAGGTGGGTGTTTCTGGTATCTCCGAAATGGCTGGAACCATTACGTCAAGCAGACAAATCAAAATAAACCGGATTGGCCGGATTTTTTTGGGTCTTTTACTGCTTTTTCATTTCACAAATGATCGAGATCCAGTCTAAATGATCACTCATGATTTTGGCGGACTTTTGATGCGTTACTTAAAAAGGAACGGTATCCTTCTATTTTGAATTTTGTTAGTTTAGAGAAAAATAAATTAATATATAAAATATAAAGTAGATAGCTTTTTGCACTGTCGGCGTAGTTTATTTTCAATTTGGTTTTTAAAAAAATAAGATTGGATAAAAGTTAAATTGGGTAAGGTGAATTATGTTTGGATTGAAGTATAAAAAAGTTAGTTTGTAAAAGTAAAATTCGTAAAAAGTTGTTTGGATTATAATTGAGTAAAAATAAATTTATTTGTAAAATTATCAAAATAGATATGAATTTTAATAAATAATGAAACATAATTAAAAAAATGATTGTACATAATACAATGAATTTAAATTAATTTAATATGAAGAAGTAAAATTTAATTAGTGAATTAAATTTTAAAATTTTAGAAAAAATCATAAAAAAAAAATTTAAATACAAAGAGAAATCATAAAAAATATTTTAAATATAAAAAATGATGTGGACTGTGTAGGATTCATTCTGCGCTATGGTTCTGTGCTTTGGTTTCTGGCACTTCCAACAGTAAGCTCGATTTCACTCCCATAAATTACAAATATCAGCTTATCCTTAAGCCTGCTTGAATCCAGCTTTTTAGACCTAAGTCGGATAACTTATAAGCTCTGCCAAACACCTTCCAACTTTTCAAACGGGCTTATCAGAAAAATAAGTAGCTTTTAGGGTCTCAATCGCTCAGCCAAACAAGCACTGAGACATCTGTCCCACTTTTAACAGCAGTGTTTGTTGTCAATTTAATTGTTTTTATCCCCGCAAAAGTAGTAAAATAATAATGCTATGTTATGTAAAGCTTCGTCCAAAAAGTATCTGATCTCTAATGAGCAATGAGCAGCATAGTCAAGAGAAGACTCATACGTCTCGTCTGGAAGTGGGGAAGAAAAAGCTCCTTCCGTTGCGCTTTCTAATCATATCGTAGTAGTTGAATATAGCTAACGTATTCCATCATGAGCTATGGATTGGCACTTGACGTTGACTAACTTTCCCAGTTCCAACAACCTTTTCAAGCGACCTTACAAGGTACTGTATATAGAATTCTCCGAAATGACTTGTTATAATGAGGAACAAGAAAGCGCAGTAAAACTCCACTTCCTTCCACTCCAAATGTATGCGTTACATAATTAATTAATAAATATTAAAAAATTAGTCAAGTATTTACTTCTTTTTTTTAAGCATTTCTTTTAATTAAAGATTCCTCTTATATCTAATCAACAAGGAGAGTTTCAAATAATTTTAAGGGACTTTTTAGTTTTATATTTAGAACTAAAGTAAATATCTTTTTTTTTTTTTTAACATTTATGAAGGGAGGAAGTGTTTTTCTTTCCTTTTTAAACGCAGAAAAGTTCAGGAGAGTAAAATGATTGGGACTTGCCACAATTAGGAATGCGCGGATAAGCCTTGCGTCTCTGTAAGCAAAGAAGGGTGTCGTGGCTTCGGATAGGGAGGGTGACTTGGAGATGCTTCGTCTGTCATGAAAGTGACAGTTGTTGGTCCCAAATTATCCGTGATGAATGGGCATCATGCTCCCATCTTTGGTCCCCCCCCCCCCGGGGGGATTTTTGTCATTTTGGCTTATACCTTCTATTAAAAAGAAGTTGTTTCTAAGTTTCTCTCTCTCTCTCTCTTTAACAAGAGGGGCAGACAAAAGAAACCAAGCATTCTAAAAATTTGGAGACAACAAGACAAATAGTTTGTTCCAACACTGTCTTGTTACTTTTGGATTTTTTTTCATGTGATTGGAACTTTACATATAGAATTGGATAAATTTTGATCTGAATCACTACCTTTCCTTTTACACCCGTCTTTTCCCCTTCTTCTTCACCCAGAGAGATGACTCCAAATATGTAAGTATGAAAATTATAACTGTAAATCATGATTAAATCCAGTGAAGCATTGGTTTCTACATCCTTTTTAACTTTGCCTTTGTTTTGTTTTGCTCTTTTTTTTTTCCCCTCACTGTTTTATCATCAACTCAATTGAAGTAATGAGCCTCCTAATATTGGGGATCATACTTTGACTAATCTCCATGTTATCTGAATGTATCTCAAAGTTATTTTCAAGACAGTCGTTTAAAAGTAGCATGCAAAACCAGAAAACTTGAAGTAACATTACAGAACCTGAAATAAATCTTTCAGAAGAATGATGGAAGGTATAATTCTGCTTGTACAGTGGCCTACAAAGTACAAACATAGAAGACAGAACACTAGTCTTTCAGAAGAATCTTTATCTCCTGAAAGAAATAGAGGACTAGAACATGCCATTTATTAATGCTATGGACAAGCACGTGAATTTGGCATAGGAAGATGAAGATTCTACCTACCCATTTCATGCCTGGCTTTCCCTTGAAAAGTAAAACCGCTTCGACAATGATTGGTCCCAATGCTACTTATTTATAAACGTACAAGACCCACAAAAAGCAGGGCCTTATTGCTCAAGGTTTTTGCTAAAGGAGACTCAGGTAGGAACTAATCACTTGGTGTAGCACTATAAACCCTCTGGTCATAATCCATCAGCTCTTAATTGGCAAAAATTAGGTCAACTGAGATTGAATTCTGTGTTGCTCAATAGGCTTGACTAGAGAAAAGGACCAATCAAATACCATCTTCTTCAACGGCCAAAGAGTCAAACCACCTGTTTGAAAAACTTCCACGCAAGTTGGGAAAATCTCTCTCTTTCTCGGCAAAGTGCGCAATAGAGAAGCCTTCACTGCTCTTTGCCACACAAAACTTTAGCGAAAGCTTTGGAGGATAATGGAGCCGAAACGGGGCATAGAGCAATTCAAAGGTCAAACAAGGTTACCCAAATTTGCAGTTCCGAAACGCTATGATCTTCTTCTTAAACCTGATCTCTCTGCCTGTACTTTTTCTGGAACCGTGCAAATTAGCCTTACTATCAGTGAAAACACCAAATTTATCGTCTTGAACTCTCTCGAACTTGATATCCGGAGAGTCTGGTTCACTAACTCTCATCTTGTAGAGGTAGGGATTATATTTTTCAAGCGATCGGGCCTTTTTTATGATGCAAATTGTGGATTTTGGTGACCATTCTTGTTCTAATTTCAACAGTACTCTCCGTGTGATGTTGTTGTGGATGGTGATGATGAGATTGTCATCCTGGTGTTTGATGAACCGCTTCATGTTGGAGAAGGAGTTCTGGGGATTGAGTTTTCTGGGATCCTCAATGACCACCTTAGAGGATTCTACAAATGGTGCCTTCCTTTGACCCCCTACGGAAAATTTTATCTACTTGAAAGTTTTGCTGATAAGAGAATATGAATGAACTCTCTTCTAAATAATTAAGAGATAAATGTAAATATGCAGTATACTACCTTTGCACGAACCAAAATTAATGTTAGCATCTAAGAATTAACATGTTTCAAGCTGTATAATTTTTTTTTTATTTCTTTAATTATTTTTGACTGGACAAAGGTGCTTAGACTACAACAAATTAACCACTTATTATTTTTAATAGTAATCCCAAGCTGTACAATATCTGTTACAATTTCCGAATCTGTAAATCTTCTCATGAAAGATATCTTCCTTAGGGCAATAATGAAATTCACTCCGAATCATCAATCATATAAAATTTCGATTGATGAATAAGATGATACGTCAGTCACACTCTAAGGAGTACAAGTTCCAGGCTAGTTTTCACATAACGGAACCGATCGACCCAGTAAGCACTTTCTCCCAAGAACTTGTGATTTAGTCTCCTGGAAATTTAAGCTAACGCTTCCAGAGCTACGTCGTTAAATGACTAAAGAAATATATTATTGGATTATGTTCTGAAAGATAAGCAGAGAATAATCTGACTCTTGCCGGCTCATATTTAAATTAAGCCATCATGAAACTATTTATTTGACCATTAAGTGAAAATCTGGTTGGCACTGTGTCGCAAATTCTCATACTGACTTTATCAGCACATATAATGACGGAGGAGTGAAGAAAAATATGGCAGTTACTCAGTTTGAGGCAGTAGATGCAAGGCGATGCTTCCCATGCTGGGATGAGCCTGCTCTGAAGGTATGTAGAATTATACTACTTAACTAGTTTGGATAAATTAAATAAGCTAAATAAATTAGTTAATTGTAATTAATATTATCGCTGTGTAGCATTAGATTATACATTAATTACTAATTTATATGTTAGGTAAATTAGTTTGAGGTTTAAGGAAAAATGATAAATATGGGAAATAAAGTGAATTTAGATATTATATTTAGAGTGCCTACATCATATTTCATGCCTTTACTTTCATTGGTGATCAGACAACTTCTTGTGACAATGCTAACCATTCTTAACAGGCAATCTTTAAGATAACACTTACCGTGTCATCAGAGTTGACAGCATTGTCTAATATGCCAGTTGAATTTGAAAAGCATGATGGAAACTTAAAGACTGTTTATTTTGAGGAATCACCTGTCATGTCTACTTATTTGGTGGCTGTTGTTGTTGGCTTATTTGATCATATCGAGGAAACATATGCTGGTAAGCAAATGAGGCAGACATTATTGATGCTTCTGCAAGCCGAACCCCTTACAGTTATGGATTCTATTTTGATCTCTTTTGCAGGGATCAAGATTAATTTATATTGTGCTATTGGGAAGGCTGATCAAGGGAAGTTTGCATTGGATATAGCAGTGAAGACACTAGATATATATACAAAGTAAATTCATCATTCTTAATTTTGACAGGACTCATCTTATAGATACATCTCAGTTTGCATTGAAATGTTATTGAAGTAAAATAGTCATACTTATTTAAGCCTTTTTATCAGTGAGGTAAGATCGGATTTCAATATGTCTCTTGCAAGAGCTGATAGAATTTGGAGACCGTGCGGAATAAGTGGAAGCATATATTTAAATGTCTTGGTCTAGAGATCTTTCCTTACAGGGGAATATAACAAAGGAGGAACGATCGAGGGAGGCCTATCAGCAGCTTCCCTGAATCAGCATTTAAAATATATAATTAAATCGAACAATCCAAACAAAAACTACAATATTTCCCCCCTTGAGTCTGAGAATTGAAAATTTTGTCCTCTGTTTCCCCCTTTGGTGGTGTTCTGAACTTGTTTCTGAAATCATAGGTACTTCTCAGTGCCTTATCCACTGCCTAAACTGGACCTTGTTGCTGTTCCTGAATTTGCTGGTGGAGCCATGGAGAACTATGGTTTGATTATATATCGTGAAAATGAACTTCTTTACCATGATTTGTATTCTAATGCTGCTAAGAAGCAACGTGTAAGTTACATGCCTAGTCACCGCATGAATGTCAGCTTTGTTTGCAACCAGAAACGTCCTGTTTTCTTTGAGGAGCAGCAGATTTCTTCTTTTTTATTTTCTTGTTCATATAGCTTATAGCCCATGTCTGTTTTCCTAGATAACAATTGTCACAGCACACGAAGTCGCTCATCAGTGGTTTGGCAATCTGGTAACTATGGAATGGTGGACTCATTTATGGCTTAATGAAGGTTTTGCAACATGGGTAATTTTGATTCTTTATAACATGGTGGGTTTGACTTGTAACCAATCGACAATAAAATAATCTTTGCTCCTGCAACTGTTTTTTCAGATAAGTTATATGGCCACTGACATCTTATTTCCAGAGTGGATTATATGGACTCAGTTCCTTTTACAAGCTGCAGATGGTTTACAAATGGATGCTCTGGAAACATCACATCCGATTGAGGTAACAATTAGTCAATTGCTAATATACGCTGTTATGTTTGAAATTTCTTCATCAAAACACACTAAAAATGTTTACGTTAATGCTGATGGTAAAGAAATCAGCTTGCATGGACAGGACAATAGTTCCTAAGCCATAGTTTTGGGAGGGCATTTAACTAAGGCACCACACAATAATGTACTACCAAAAGACAAAAGAAGTAAAGAAGTGCTAGATTTTAACAAAGAGAAAGGAAAAATAAAGAAAAGAGATTCTGACAGTAGTATATAACAGGCCACATTCATCCTCGATTCTAGTTTATGTCTTGTATCTTTCTTTGGTTTTAAGGAAAAGGGAATATCATTGTAGACATGATTGTGAAGTATGACTGCAATAAGAAAACTAGTGACCATGTTACTTCTGATTGGCATATTTTCAGGTAGAAATACACCATGCACGCTCAGTTATTGAAGTCTTTGATGCTGTTAGCTATGAAAAGGGATCTACTGTTATAAGAATGTTGCAGGGTTATCTTGGTGATGAGATATTCCAGGTGACAATGCTAGTTTTGAACCCTAAATTATTAAGTGGAGTTATGTCTTCACATTACGAGACCTAGTTTTGCATTGATTATGGCGCTGGATCTGAGGACTTCATTGTGATCTTGCAACAATCTATTAGATCTCGAACTTTTTGCTATTAATCTTAAATTCTAATTTTATACTAGAAACATTTATCTGAATTTAGGTTTGCATGACTTCCAGATTCTCCTTAAAATTAAACATTTTGTTTGATATGAAAAAGTTTCATGGGAATGTCGGCTTCTTTGTGTTATGCACCTTTCCAGCTTGGACAGCTGAGCTGTATTGATGACAGATCTAGAGGCTGATGAATATTTGTGATATCTTCATGTATACTGTTCCTGTTCATCCATAAAATTTTCTTATGCCAGTTTCATTAGTTTGATTCATACACACATGCGTGTTGGCAGACACACTTATATGTTCCAACTATCCAATATTTTGAATTGAGCTCCACTTCATAATGCTGCAAATTTTGGTGTAATATAAACCTTGTCATGTTTGAAATATAAACAATCTTTCTGCTGGCTATTTGGTGACAAGATTTTTACCATGCCGTCATTGTTATGCTAACCATTTTAATGAAATAAATTGAGGGGAAGGGCCTACCACCTTGCTGTTTTCCTAGTTTGTAGTTTCCAAACATCACAATTGAATCATCCAACTTGTAAATTGTAATGTTAAATGAGAATATTTGAGGTAATCCTGCTGACTCCTGTATTAATTTTCCAACCAGAAATCCTTAAGCAATTATATAAGAAAATATCAAGGCCAGAATGCAGGCACAGAGGATCTATGGACTGTTCTTTCAGAGGAATCGGGTGTGCCGGTGAACTCAATGATGAACACCTGGACAAAAAAGACAGGATACCCAGTTATCAATGTTAAACTAGAAGGTCATATTTTGGAACTCAAACAGGTATACTGAGGTTGCAATCAAAATAACACTCGCCAAATGGTTGGATATCAATTTTTTCTTTTATTTTCACCTTTGAATGTAATTGCTGTTGGAGTCATTCTAATGTAACAGTTGGATTTGCAGTCACAATTTCTGTTATCTGGTGCACATGGTGATGGGCAATGGATCGTTCCCGTAACATTGTGTATTGGCTCAACCCAACGGAGAAAAAATTTCCTTCTGGAGACAACCCAGGGAAAGTTGGATATATCTGGACTGGTTCAAGCAAGTGGTGATAGTCAAAGCTCGACTAAAGAGAAAAATGTGGAAGACAGTGATGAAAAGTTATGGGTTAAAGTCAATGTTGATCAAAGTGGATTCTATAGGGTAAATTATGAAGACAAGCTTGCAGTTCGACTGAGAAAAGCCATACAAAACAATTCCCTGCAAGCTACAGATAAATTTGGTGGGTATGATGTGCAAGTTATATGTACGTAGCAATCTACTGTTCTGCAATTTTTAGACATGTTATCGTTACAGGGATATGATTAGTCTAGGTATAACAACTGACTGGAAAGAAAATGATATGCCTTAGATGAGAGTATTGTCCAATGTGGGGACAGGGGAAATTTACTTCAACTACTCATTGATTTTAGGAAGAGAATACAGGTTTCAACCAATTTTGTGTATTTTGCAGTACTTTCCATTGGTTGTCTTGATCCCAAGGCTATTGGTGGTTCATTTAAGTCTTTTTGTAACTCATTTTCAGGCATTATGGATGATGCAAATGCTCTTTGCCAGGCTTGTGAACAGTCACTTTCATCTTTACTTTTGTTGATGGATGTGTACAGGAAAGAGTTTGATTATGTTATCGTATCAAAACTCATTTCTGTAAGGACAAGTACTCTATTCTAATATTCCTAATATATTCATGAGTTATCAATAGGAAATGATTTTTGGGCCAAAAAAATGGAAAATGATTTCATAATTCTTTTTATGACAGGTTTGTTACAATATTCTCAAAATCTCAAGAGATGCCATCCCAGACTCCGTGAACGAGTTGAAACAATATTTTATCGCCCTCCTCAAGTTTTCTGCAGAGTAAGGATGAACTCTCCAATTAGAGGATTTAAAGTATCAATTTACCTTTGCTGGACATATATATCTCAATATGTATAATTCACTAGTTTATTGTTCTGCATCCTCATAAGAACTTTGCAATAAATTTATCATCGATGTGATGAGTGTTTCATTCTGAATTCATATAGTGAATGTAAGATTCTGCTCTTGCAGATGAATGATTTAGTCACTTACCATTTATGCAGACAATTAGGTTGGGATTCTAAAGAAGGAGAAGATCATTCGAGCTCACTCTTAAGAGGAGAAGTATTTCAGGCTTTGTCTACATTTGATCATGGTGAAACGCAACAAGAAGCACTACGGCGCTTTCTGATATTGTTAGACGACAGCAATACGACTCTGCTTTCAGCTAACACTAGGAGGGTAAAATTAAGAATTTTTATTGATGAAACTTCGCAGTAGTTTTGGATCTATTCATTCATGTTTGATTAGAAGATGTGCTAAATATTCTGAAGGCTGCTTATGTGGCTGTCTTGAGGAATACTACCACCAAAAGCAGGACTGGATTGGAATCCCTATTGAGTTTCTACAAGAGAACTGACGTGTTACAAGAAAAGGAAAGAATACTCCGTATGATACAGTAACATTTAGATTGAAAGCGTTTCGAGTGTTCCAACTCAAGTCTCCACTCCATTGGGTAATATTTCTTGATTTGCTGTCTTTATTTTAAACTCATTCAGGTTGCCTTGCATCAAGTGCGGATCCAAACATAGTTCTGGAGGTTCTAAATCTTCTGTTGTCTGATGAGGTATTGCATTTTTCTAACGTAATTTCAGTTTTTTAGCAGCTGAAATTCCTTTCTGTTTATAAATGTCGTTTGTATAATTTGTTTTAGATTCGGGATCAAGATATTATTTATGTACTTGCTGGAATAAGCTCAGAAGGGAGCGAAACAGCATGGAGATGGTTGAAGGTATGTGCTTCCATGGGAGCTAGTTCTTGTTTGTCCCATAATCATCCTTCTGGGATTCAATAACAATTCTTTGATAAACTCAAATTAAAAGAGAAATATTAGACTAGACCAAGCATCAATGGGCGTATAAACATGTTAAAAGTGAGTCTCATTTAAAATTCGATTCACTGTTCTTAACACTGAGTCTACGTTAAAATTTCCCTATGTGATTAGAGTAGACCCATCAATGGGTGTTTGGTTTAAGTAGTAGATGATTTCATTTCAATTTAAAGAATAATTTTGAATTGATGACCAATGCAGGACAATTGGGAAAGGATCTTGACCAAATATGGTGCTGGACTTCTGCTCACCAATTTCATTAGCCAAATCGTCCCATTGGTAAGCAAATGATTGCCTTATAAACATAGCAAGTGGTGTGTTAGATTATCAATGACTGGGTTGCGTTCCTTGAGTTTAGCACTTTATCGTAATTTAGAGTAAATTAAATCAATTGACATTTCACATTTTCAACGATATCTGCTCCTTCCCAGGCCCTTTTCTGTAAAAAAAGTGTTATTTGTGAAGAAAATTTATACAGAAAGTGATTAAAGAACAAACTAGTAAAGATCCCTCGACAGTAAGAATTATAACACTGGAAGAAATATAGGAAGAACCCGGGAAGGGATGAAGGAGACCTTGAGCCTTTATTGCAAATAAAAACGCGATATGTGGGGATTGGATAGAAAAAGGCACAAACTCCAATCCCACAAAATCAGCAACAATAAATAACAAATAACAAAATGATGGAGAGTACACAGAGAAACAGAGGAAAAGATAAGATACAAACAGAAAACAATTATTAAATATAGTTGGCACTAAAGGAATCATGCGACACTCCTCACATGCTGAATTGCTGGTTAACACTCCCATTCAGGCTGGAGAATGGATATTGATCATTCCCATTTTGCAAATCAAACCTTCAAACTTTGCTCTTGGAGTTGTGAAGGATTGCAGATAAGGCCTATGCTTCAGATTAAGTTTCTCTATAATGAAGTTCTATTCTGCCTCCACATGCTTAGTTCTATTATGAATTCTTTCTAGCATGCTTGGTTTAACATCTGCGTTGCCCAAAAATCCATTTGCAAGAAGCACTAATGTGTTGGATTTTGGAAAAAGTCCATCCCAAATGGAGGGCTTTTGGGGCTAAACCAAAAGCTGAAACAAGATTTTTCACAATGTTGATGGTGGTTAACTGGCCGTGCCGGCTGTCACAACTTTCTTAGGCTCCTTCATGGGTATTATTCTCATGGTATTGCCTTTTGAGAGAAGGAACTGCCACAAGTCCTATGATGTAACTATTTAGTCTCATACAACCGTTTCTAGAAAGCCCTAATATTTTCAAATCAGCCAAGAGTTGGAGGGTCAGTTGACAGCTAAAATGGTAGCCATAACGTGTTGTTGCTGATGCATGTTTTATGCCATACTTAATGGACGCGTTACCCTTAAATTATTGAATAATTATGCCAATAGGATATGGCGTTCCTTAAAGCACTAATCAAATTTGGGTTTTGATGAGATGGTCAATTTTGCCACAATAAGTTAACTGTTGATATGAGTTTTGTGTCAGCCTGGAATTGTTTTGATGGTTTTTGACTTTCTTATGGTTGACTACGGTTTTATTTTTTTGTTGTCTTTAATCATTGAGTGCGTGAATGACAAATAGGATAATCTAATCATTGAGTACACAGGAAAAGGAATAAAATGAGTCTTCTTAAAATATATTATATTATATAATATAATGTTCATTCATAATTGACTTAAATTATATATTTCATGTGAATTAAATCTTCTTAAGACTTTCCATTAAATAAAAAAGGATTTAGACTATGATGGGAACTCTATCGTGAAATATACTGTTTTATTTTTCTTAAAGGTGACAAGGATGAAACTTGGAACCTTAAACTCCTTGAATTTCATATAACCTGGCAGGTTAATAGCAACGAAAAAGCTGATGAGATAGAAGAGTTTTTTGCTAGTCGCATGAACCCTTCAATTGCTATGAACTTGAAGCAAAGCATCGAGCAAATCCGAATCAAAGCCAGGTGGATACAAAGCACAAGGCAAGAACATTCTCTGCCAGACCTGATCAAACAATTAGCTCAGAAGAAATAGTAGCTTCTGTCCCAGCAACTTCCTTTGAAGCTTGAACCAAACCAGAAACAAGTAGTTTCTTTCAATAACGTGTGTCTATTATGACATGAATAAAAAGACAATGTAATTCTCTAGTTTGGAGTAAGTTGGATTAGACCAATAAATCTTCTAAACAACTATGTTCATGTGGAAGCATGATTTATTTATCAACGCAGGTTAGCCTAAGCGATAAAAAGTTCAATTCAAATCTTGAAAATAAGAAAAATAGTCTCTTGCATGACTGAACGAACTTATTTTTGGTAAGTCATAACTCAAATCATAAGCCTTGTGATCAACTACCTCTAACACCCAATTAATTAATTTATAAAGTTACCAAATTACTTTAAATTATTTATATTTATCATTTTTTTTAAAAGTAATTTGTCCCATGAATCAACTGTGTCATGTGAAGATAGTAGTTAATAGGGTAAAAATTACAAATTATAATACACAAACTGCTCTGTTTCATTCATGTATCCCATAAATTCTGCACTACAGCCTGAAAGTTCATGCATGAATAAATATACTACAATCACACATTCAAAACTGATAATTTCAAACGCATATACATTCCCCAAAGAAAATGTAAATCAAGAATTGTATGCCAGAGACAGGTGAATCCTTCCCTATATGGCTTTGATCTCTATGTGAAAAATCTAACAAAGAACAAAAGAATGCAAAAGTATAATCTTTTAAAGAATACAATCATTTAGCAACTTCAATCTAGTCCAGTTTATTCTCCGTTTTCTACGTTCAGGAAGGGCCTAGATTGGACTTCCCTTTGATGGAGTTCATCTTCTCCAACTTCAAACCAGCTTTGAACCTCGCAATGAAGGTGTCAGCTTTGGTATCAACATCTGGGCTGGGACAGAACAATGGCGGCGTCGTCGGTTGTTCTTGACTGGCTGGCGAGTCCACACCTTCATCTATATCTGGCGAATTACTACGGGAGCTTCTAACGCTATCGATTCTAACGAAATCACCATGCACCCGAAACTTCCATGCTGGTATCTTGAATGGCGGAGGTGGCGGTGGTGGGGGAATTGGGTTGAAAGGTGACTCATTACCTGTGAGAACATTTCCTTCCATGCTGTTGAAAATCTGTCTCTCGTTTGATATGGGAGGTTTCTGGGTTTTTGATACTCGGGTAGACAAAACAGGCGGCGGCGATGGCGCACGCTGCGGCGGCGAAACAGAGTGAACTTTTTGGTGTCTGGATTTCCTGGGAGAAAACAAATTATGAAAAACTGACGGTGGTGGCGGCAGCGGCGGAGGAGGAGGAGGAGTTGACGGTGGCAGTTGTGGAGCTTGAGAGTTCAGAATACTTTCAAAATTTTCAACACTCCTCTGTCTCTGTTTCTTTTTCTTGCCCCTCAATGATGTTAAGAACTCTTTAGTCGCACTCCCTCGTTTTTTCTTACCTTGGCCAGTCTTCTTCTCCGATGACATATAGAATAGTGGCAGCGGAGGAGGAGGAGGCGGCGGCGGAATTGATCGTCGTGGTGGTGGTGGGAAATTCCTGACTTCCAACTCACTTATTTCCTCTTTCTCAGTCATTGGAGCTGGTCTTGAACTTCGATATGTTCGCCTGGAATTTTTCCGAACAACTTTAACGGGTGGAGCTGGCGGCGGCGGCGGTGTTGCCACCGTAGAGTGTGGTGGTTGGTACATTCTGACTTCAAATTCATCCTTTTCCTCTTTGTCAATTATTTCCGATCTCCCAGCGGCATGATACGATCGCTTCGCCTGTCTTCGAACTCCTTCAGTGCGCTGCACCGGCGGCGGCGATGGGGGTGATGGATGCGGGAAAGGTGGTGGCTGCCGCGTCTCCGGTATCGGCGGCGCACTGGGAACTTCCTCTGCCCGAACAACAAAAGTGTCGACGGCTATGTTCTTAATAGCATCCTGTTCCTCATTTACGACCTCCGGTCTTACGTGACGGTGGCGAAGCTGCCGGTGATCATCTAAGTCCGATCCGCGGTAGCCCCCAACACTGGTATCATCGTAAAATCGCCACCTTTCATCGCCGGCTACCCACAAAGACTCTTGCCGGAGATCAGGGTAGGAGTTGAAACTCCTCATCCTGTTAAACACCGTGCGATCTGATTCTGAATACTCATACCAGCGCCTTGGAGGTGTTTCTGGTATTGATTTCACATAATCTCTCGCAGAAGCTGCTTGTGAGAAGCTTCGATCTTCATAAGAACGCGGGGTTTCATTACTATTTCTACTAAGAAATCCACAAACAATGGCAAAGAGAACAAGCACCAAATTCAGAGAATCCCAGCTCTTCTTCACCAATTGCGGTCTGAATATATGGGAAGTGAAAGAGCGCAATGTGGGAAGTACGATGAAGACAATTACACAAGCCGTGACAATGATGAATGTAAGAAGAGCACCAGAGCTGAACAAGAGGGAGGACGAACGGCGGAGGCGGCGGCGGCGACCGCCTTCGGATGGCAGCCAAAAGGGTGGCAACATGTCTTCCTCATCTTCCATTTTGATCGGTTTTGCTTTAAAGAGATAGATGAGAAGGAAATGAACTTTAGAAGAACACTCTAGCTTTTATGATTGCTTTTGGGTTGTGTCGCGTAATGCTGATTCCAACTTTCGTGAGCTTGGCTTCTTATATTACGGAGCCAACAGTGAGAAAGGTAGGAAGGTGAACGTGACGATGGGTTTAAAAGAAGTTTTCTCAACACACACGACACCATTCATAGCCTAGTTAAATTTGAGATCAAAATAAAGGATAAAAAATTTGAAAAAAATTATTATATTACATCCAATTCAAATTATAAGACTTTATTTATAATTTGTAATTATAAGATTTTATTTATAAACTATAAACAATATCTTATAATTAAGAACGGAGATAGTATGATTGTAATTAATTTTGATAATCATATTTTTTTATTCTATAAATGAGGTTTTATAATTAAGAGAGAAATTAGTACGATCGTAATTAATTTTGATAATTATATTTTTATTGGACATCGGCTTATCCATAAAAATCTCTATTTTATAATTTATAGTGATATAATTGTTTTCCACTAAGAATAGAGCTCATTTTATTACACTTCGTGTTTTCCGCGGACCTCACCTATTTTAGAAATAAGGAATGGGGAAAAAATATTTATTTGAAGGAAAAGTTTTAAACCAAAGCAATAAAAAAGATTGTTGGGAATTCAGTGTTGGGCTGTCTTCTAGCAAGAATGACAGGCAATTAAAATTAAAAATAGATAATGGGGGTAGAGCAGAGCATGTGGCTTTTGAATTTGAGGGCTGGATCCTTGACTTGGCCAACCAATATTATTTCTTCATTTCTTCCAAATCATTATTATTATAATTATATCACATAGTTTATTTATCTATTTCAATAGTGTGTGATAATTAATTGGTCCCCACCATTATTAAATTGAAAAAAATATCAAATTTTTATTACCAATATGAATCACAAGTCACTATCATTGTGCTTGGCCAAACTAAATTCATGCCCTTATTCATGTTACTTGCACATCAAGCTCGCTTCTCTGCTCCTATTTATATTATTTAATTCCTATCAAAATCATAATTTATGTGAACAATTCAACCATAAGATCAAAATCAAATAGTACCTGTGACCCTAATTATAAGAACACATTTATAATTTATAAATGAGATCTTATAATTAAAACCAGAGGTGATCGGTTTTTGGTGTTATTAACTCTTTTCTTGTCTTTTTTTTGGCCCCAAACGTATTAAATACACTATCTTAGTGATTCAAATTATTGTATTATTTATGTATGATTATGTCATAATGTATCAATACGCGTCAAAGATGTCCTTTTGTCTAATCATTGAATTGAAATAATCAAGAAGACACTTAATCAGAAAGTAATGAGCAATAACAAGCACAGAAAAGTTGCTTAAGATTCCAAGTAAGCAAGATGGCGGCCAATTAAAGTTGTCTTTGGTCTCAATTCTCAAATACTCTTTGGAAAATATGAAAGAAAGTTGGGTTGATTAGAAAAAATGTGGGGCATCTATTTTAACGTGTGAGAATTAAAAAAATTATTCTATAAACTTTTTTTTTTTGCCGAAGTTAAATTTTTTGGAAAAAATTAATTGGGGATAAATTAAATAAGTTTAAATATTTTTCTTAGTGAATTATCCTTTGATGGCATATAGTTAAGGTCTAGGGAAGTAATTTACAAATATTCATTAAGGTAAGTATCTTTTGAGCCGTATAACCTACTCTTTATCACTAATGAATCATTAGAATCCAGCTTATAACTATTGAATTATTGCAGACAAGACAGTTTAGAACAAAGTAAGATACACTATTCCTGATTAAGTTGTTCAGCTAGCAAAAATTTCAAATATTATTATTGACAAGATTAACTTTATATATATATATATTCCAATGGCTTATTAGGATTAGAGCGTACTTCTAGGCTCGAAAAACATTTATAAAGGTATTAATCGCTTATTAACAAAATCCTCATATCAGTAACGAGATTCAAACTCATAACATTGTAAGCTATGAATCGGTTCCTTATCAATTAGATTAATTCTTGTTAACAATTAACTTTGATTTTAAAGAATTTATTTGAGTCTTTTTCAACCCACTAACTCTAATAGATCTCTAGAACCAGCTCATCATTAGTTCAGTTTGGTTAACCAGCGCGTGAGACAATCGAACATTACTCAAAGTCTCAAACTTCACATTTAACAAATTTGGAGTGACGTATTTTGATTCACATAATGACAAAACGTAGTATTCATAATACGAGAAGCGTGTTATGCAATATTTGTTATGCGTCGCTGGTCAAAAAAAATATTTGTTATGTGTCGTTGTCTGCAACTTGTGACTGTTGCTTTTCCTCCCCCACCAAAACTGCTGTCTCCTCTTGGATTGTGGTTACTGTTCAATGCTTGGGCCCCAGGATTTTTTATCCTCTAATTCTGACTGGTCTTAACATCAAGACAATTTCACACTTGGTGGGTACAACATGATTGATTGGATTAATTTAATTACAGATATAATTATCAGTTTTTGTTTGATTTTGGTGCCTAATTGTTAGATAGGATATTAATATATGGCTGCTTGAAGAAAATAATGGATTCACCATTGCGATCTCAGGATCAATTTGGGAAGCCGAAAGCTGTATTTTCCCCCCTTTTTAGTATATGATTGCTTGACCAATGGAATTTCTGATACTTCAAGAGTTCATCTAGGGGTTGTTTGTAATCAAGAAGCAGCTCATTCAATTAAATTGCTCTAGTTCAAAATTTTTATTGCAACACGATCTGTTTTTTATTCATTTTGTTTTCTTATAAAAAAAAAAGATTGCTTGAAGATTGTATCTGGATATTTAAATCTTAACTAATGTTGTTATCTTTGTGATGTTTTATTAAATTTACTGCTAACAACATTTCCTAACTAACCGGTGAAATAACAGGAAGAAAGAATCCGTAAAATATTGAAAAAAGCTTTATTAATTAATTAGTTAGCCGATTATCCAACCCCATGTGTTTTCTGTCACCTGCTTTCTTTTGCCTCGTACCGCCTTTTGCTTGTCTAGTCCAGCTCCAAAAGGGCACTAACAATTATAATAAAAATTAAACAACCTTGTAACATCAAGCACCTTTTACTTTTACTTTCTTTTGCTGATACCAACTTTCTTAGGATCAAAGATGCTCATGTCATAGGAAACCACCATGACACGGTAACCACACAGCTTTGAATTTGAGGTGGTCAAATACCACAGCTAGAGCAGTCTCTGTCATGCTAGTAGTTCTTAACCTGAATTCTTTTATTTGTCCAGATGCGCCGGATAAATTCGTGTGTCCGTGAGAGAGACAAATACTAGGGATGGTATAGATGACACATTTAAATATCAAGTTTCTCAACCAAAAAAAAAAAAGGGAACATTATCAATGATCATATATATGGCAACGGTCAGCATGGTCCAAGTTCAGATGGATAAAAATAACCCATCAAAATTCACTATTGGACATTGTAAACCCCCAACCCCCCAAACAAATATTTACTTTTAGACAACCCATAGGAGGATCATAATGACATTGAATATAGAACTATGGCATAAAAGAACAGATAAAAACTATCAACCCACATCCAAATCATTTCATTGATGGTTTAAGCCATTCTCAGGACGTAATACATATGTACGTAGTAAAAGTCTGTTTCAGAATGAAATTCTTCTATGCTTAAAGCCGAGTTACATCAATGTAAGCTGTATATTTCAGTTAGTGAAACCTAGGCTAGTTACCCATCTTTCCTGGGAGTCAGAAACGATCACAGAGAGCTTGATCCACCATGCATGAAGCCTGCCTTCCTTCCAGAGGAGACTAATAATGAAGATGGGATTATTTACTAAATGCTAATTGATTAGAGATAGGTGAGTTGAAACTGTTGTGACGACAAAAACAACTACTGCGATCAGCGCAGCAATTGTAAATATTAGAGCCTGCAACAATCACAACGTCTCCTATCAAAAACAGGAGCAGTTCTTTCATGAGGAAAAAAGGGGGTACAATGGAAAACAAAAGGGATATAATTTCCCCTGTATCAGATTACATAGGATAGGTAGCAAAGCAGCACATTTGACGAATGAGTGGAGTATGAAATGTACATTGTTTCTCAACATAAACTGTACTTACAGCTATTGCAGATGCAGCTAGTCCAGCTCGTTCTCTTGGGTCCTTTTGATAGTAATTGCAGAAGTAGAGAATTGTGGCATAATACCAAAAAAGTGGACACACAAATCCTAGCAGAAGGCTGGCAAGAAAATAAAAGGGGTGGAGGAGATGCCATCAGAAAATGAGTTGAGAATAGAAAGTAAGAAAGATAAGAGCTGCGTAAAATAACTCACAAGAACCATCCAAATCCACAGCCAAAACAAGGAAGGGGCTTGTCAAATTTTCCTGACTGTTCATCTTCTGAATCCCTGATGGGAGCATATTCACCATTCCTTTGGTCCATCGTGATCCAAGCAGAGCCCTATGCAAATCAAACTCAACTTCTGTGACTAGTTCAATTATGTCTATTTAGCACAGAATTTCTACAGCTAGGGCTTTATTAGAACAAGGATAACATCAACATTCACTCAGAAGGTGGTATGAAAAAACAGAAACAATAATATTTATCTATAAGATGAGTAACTTTCTGTGTTAGTCATTTCCCAAGCATAAAAGAAAATGGCAGCTACATGAGAATAGCAGAGGTTCATGACCATTAAGGATCATTTAAGTGGGACTAATAAGACAGGATTGAAGAATCCATCAGGCATTCCAATCCCAATTTCTATATAACCTCGAGAAATTTCCAACTATGCTCTTCTTAGTTGTTGATAGATATAAACAAGATTCTAAAATTTTGATCTAGAACTAAAATTCTTTTAGTTATTGATTAAGACTCAAAGTATAACGTAATCCAATAATTATAAATCAAAAAGAAAAGCTTTGAGAATCATGATGACATGATAAAGTGACCCACCTAAAAGAATACAAGAATTACCTATCACGAGCATCAACAACTGGATCGAACATAGGAAGCTCAATTCTATTACAATTCTCATAAATGACTAACAAGTTTAACTTTATATTAAGGCCACAACACTCAGTGAAATTCGTAGCTAGACTCACATAAAAGGGGGAACTATCAAAAAATTGAAGATAGATTCTTGAGGAGGCCCTAGAACTTAGCTGAGTAAGACAAAAAAAGGAAGATGTTGTAGATCTATCAATAGCCTCCTCTGACTGAAAACCATGTAATTCAACATAACACTTTTAACTGATTTAGAGTGAAGATATCACAATAGAAAGTGAATCACGTACATTTACATCAAATCACAGCACCACACATGATACAACAAGTAGTTGACAATTGTAAAATGACACCTGCACTTATCTTTGCTTCCTCATGCACACAGAGCTTATGCAGCAACTATATTGAAATTTAGAAATCACATCAACTTATTCTCCATCATAGTACTCCAAATCTGTGTTAGCATTAGATAGTCCCGTATTACTGGTTGTGTTTCGAAAACATTTTTCCGCATTTATTACTGATACATTAGATGGGCCACAGAGACTATACACAACTAAGAAAGAGCTTCCAAAAATTGCACCGTACAAGAACAAAAAAGGCATAGGCTCGAGTTCAGAGTCATGAGTGAAGGAAAAAAACAATTCATAAAAGCGGCATTATCCTCCAAGTAAGCTGACATGCGCATTTGAGCCATTCATACAACAACAATTTACTCAAATCTCAAGACTATAAAGAAAAAATCAAAAAAAACTATTTCAATCAACGAAATTCCTTCCAACCGGCAAACATACCACTCAAATATACGACTAAATGCATAAATTTAGAAATAACATCCGAAGAAATAACTTGCGACAAAACATAAAACACCAGAAACCAGCTCTAACAAAGAAATTAGCTATTTAACCAGAAACGAAAATAAAAGACGGAGAGAGATAGATAGATAGAGAGAGTGAGTTGTTACTTGAGAAATTTCCAGCGAAGAAAACTGAACGGAACAGAATCAGTTTGGGGCAACAAGTGATTGCAGCTAACGCAGTCGCTCAATAACGGAAGAAGAAAAGGAAACTTCCACAAGAGAAGTGAGAAGAAACGCAGCTTCTCCCCATGACGGTGACGGTGACGGTGACGATCAAGTTCGCTTCCGATAGGCACTGGATTTCCACTTTGCTCCCACACTCACAGACAAAAGCAGCTTCGGTCGCAACTTTTTACCTACTCCGTAATACGACACCGTCTGCTGTCATTTCTTTTCATGGCAGTCATTTTTTTAATTAAAAAACTTTCACTTGGTATTTCTAGTATTTAGGAAAATAGTACTACCTCCGGTCCTTAATATAAGATCTTGTTTGATTTTTATTTTGATCCTAAATATATGATTTCGATCCACTTTGTCTCTCATATTTATGTTTTTTTTAAGATAGTCCTTCTAACAATAAGAGTTTTAACCAGTACACTTGATTAGTAAGGATATTTTAGGAAAGACAACACCTATTTATTACAAATAACTAACTTAACTTCTTTTCTTAATCTCCTTAAATTAGTCAATTAGCTCTTATAAATAGGACCGAAGGTAATATAAAATAAGATATTGAGGCAAAATTAATATTAAAATAAATAAAAATTTATAAAATTTTAAATATCTATGTTTACATTCAATAGGTAGAGTCCAACTTTTTCACTTGAACTATGAAAAAATTATTCAAATATTTTGGCATAAAAATTATTTATTTGGAATTCTCATATCCGTAAATTCACAAGACAAACGTACAAACCTACACCGCATGGAAAGAGATTTTGTGTACTTTTCTAGAGAAAAAATGCATATAGTTATTTGTTATTGTTAATAATAAAATAGGAAGTACATACTGTATGCTTTAACAAAGAAGCACGTCTGTTGGCAAAAACAAAAACAAAAGAAAAGAAAACAAAGAAGTACGTCTATTTGTCAATTGAACAATACTTCCATTAATTTGGGCCTTTTTCTTCCTCCGGTAGCAAGAGTCAGGCCACTACAATTATGAGGCCCCGGATTTGGGCCGAGCGAGAGAAAAATGTCAAAAAGCAGGCTTCAACATTGTTCTTTAGTTTATAGGGCCTAGAGAGGGAAAAACACATCTGCTCTCTTTTCTGACCCAACTAACCTGGCCTCTGTATTATTAGCTAAGCATTTGTTGAATCTAGAGGAATTAATTAGTCTCTCACAATGTGACAAACTAATACTCCTCCGGTTCTAATTATAAGACCCAATTGATTTATTTGAGGAGATTAAGGAAGTAAGTTAAGTTAGTTATTTATAATAAATAAGTATTGTTATTCCTAAAATTTCCTTGCTAATTAAGTATATTGGCTAAAACTATCATTATTAGAAGGATTATCTTGGAAAAAAATGCATAAATATAAAAGAAAAAATGGATTGGGTCTTATAATTAGGACCAAATAAAAATTCAAATTGGGTCTTATAATAAAGACCGGAGGAGTATTTAAATTCTTTTTAGAAGAGATACCTACATTTTGTACTTAACAGTGTCTTAAACAGAATTATCTCCAATAAGAAGATACTTGTATTTAGCAACAACAGAAAAACTATTAATTTACTATGAATCATAGTTCAAAATTCTTTCTAAAAGAATTATCCGCAGTTAATGCATGACACTTGCCTCCATTAGGAATATATTTGTGTTTTTCTTTTAGCTTTTTGAGAAAGCTAGCCAAGCAAGAGCAAAAGGTAATTGACGAAAAGTGCCAAAATTTATCATGATTTCAAACCAGATTTAAATTTCTAAGTGCCCATTTGTTTCGATGCATGGTATTAGGATTTCTTGTAATTCGGATACAATAACCTCTTTCATGCATTTGGTTGGTACATTTAAATGGTAAAGGGGGATTATGATGGGCATCATGATTACTTTATATGAGGTAACACGGATTACACTTATAGTAGTAAAGAATGAGGATTACAATATGTGTGAATCTGAAAAAGACATTAATTGCCCTTGCTTTCTTCATCATCTTCCTCAACTATTGTTGACCCGTACGCTAGTGATGTTCCTCTACTGGCGACCCTTTCTCCTCCTTCCTGTACCAATGAACTGGGCATCTTCATCTTTCCTATTTGCTTCATCGTCACAAAGATGAAAACAAAAAATGTACTAGCGCTAGCAAAAAGTAAAAGCAAAAGAACGAAAATAGAGATATAGACAATAGGAGATTTTTGATGTGGCTGGAATCTTCACCAAAAATGATGAAGATGAGTCGGGAGAATGGTAAAAGTAGAAGAGAGGAATGATCAGTCTCATTTGAGGAAGAGGGAAGACGAAGGGTGACACAGGGGTCACAGTGATGGGTGAGTGTTGCCGTGGTGGTTGAGGACGACGTAATAAGCAGTGAACTCAAGAGAAATTTTTATTTGTGCAAGGGCATTTTTGTCCTATCAATTTTATTTCTATTTAATTAAATATAAGTAATCAATTTAATTTTATCATTCTTAATATGGTACCAAACAATTTCATTGTAATCCTTTTTGCATTACATCCCATTTCCAACTATTACATTACATTACATTCTCATTGATTCCATGAACCAAACGGGCTATAAATTACTCCTCTGGTCCTTAATATAGGACCCAATTAGTAAGTTAGTTTTGATCCTAAATATAAGACTAATTTCTCATATTTATTAATTTTCTCTAAATTATCCCTATGGATATTCCCTTAACTATAGTTAATTAGAAGAGGGAGAGGGGGTATTAAGAAAGATGATTATGGTGTTTTAGAAAAAATGTGTCACTTTTCTCATAATTAACTAACTTACCTAACTTCCTTAATCTAATCAAATTAGTCAAATGGATTTTATATTAAGGACCGCAGGAGTATTTTGCTTCCACGGTTCCATTTGTTTGCCGGATGTTTTATTTTCAATATTTGTTGTTAGTTTGCTTCTTGTTTATTTTTTCTTTTGGATTAATTTTAACAACTCAACTTTCAATTAGTTAACGGCTATTCTCTCTTTGTTCCCGCCAAATATAGCAACGCCATATCAAAGGCGAGAACAGATTTCCCCCGAAAAATGTAACCATGGAATAATCGTATATTGTTCAATTTCTCTAGCGCTCCCATTCACCACTGCCCCATCTCGGTGGGGTGGCGCCACCGTGATGGTTCTCTCGGGAACAGCCTCAAATGCAGAACTCGGCCCTACTGTCATTGCCGTTGATGACGACGTCAATAGCGTGTACGCTGTCAAATGGGCAATTCATAATCTTTTACAGAAGAACTCAGCTTCCACCCTCATTCACGTTCGGACTAAGAATTTACATCCTCGTAGGTACTCTTTTTCTTTAATCTCATTTCCACCATCTATAATCTCCGGCCGGATGTTATTCTAGGTCGGTGCCTCATTGTTTAAAGAGAGTTTGTAATAATGACTGGCTGAAAAGTTTAACCGAGGGGTTCGTAATCAGTACATTGTATCATTATCTATTAAATTTTCATATTGTTTAAGCTATATGGCTATTAATGAACAATTACATCATATTTCTTTCGTCTACTACATTTCTTGTATGGTTAATGCAGGATTGCAGATGATGTTGATTCTGTCCCTAAAGAAGGTCGTCCACCAACTGAAGAAGAATCAAAACAAGTTTTTCTTCCCTTCAGAGAATTTTTTGCACAAGAAGGGGTGAGTAATTGGCAGTATCATCGATCCTACTCCTCAAAGTCTTTGAAACCCATATGTAGTACGCATTTTGATGATAGGAGGAGGCGTGTAAGATGAACTAAAGCGTGCCAGGACCTTCATAATTGTTTCTCAACCAACTGGATTGTTAAACCGTAGTCCTATAGATATTTACGCTTACCCATATGTATAGAGCGTCACGAGGATTATCCACATATGCGACTGCAGATGCTAAAATTAAATTAATTTCAGAATAAGTTGAATAGTTTGAACTTTTCTACTCTCACGTTTAGCATTCTCTACGAACTTCTTTATGGAGGAGAGGTTACAAATTGGATTGAGGAAAGGTCAAAAAAAGACAAATATATCATATATACAATTTACATATCTGAAAATCAAATTATATTATGGTTAAGGGCCTTGAGAAAACTCACCAGTATCATTGTTGGTTCTTGTGAAATTCATGTCAGATCACAGCAAAGGAGTTGGTTCTGCACGGCAATGATGTTACGAGTACACTAACCGATTACATCATTGACCACTCTATCAGCAATATTGTTGTTGGCGCTTCCCATCGGAATGCTCTTACAAGGTTCCTCTTTTTCTCTCATTCATATTTACACATGGACAAGTACATAAGCGAGATTGCAGATATGTCATGAGACATGCTATGAATCAAATTATATTATATTTAATGGCCCATTAACTAAGCGTCTTCCTAGATGACCACTGCAGGAAATATAAAGGGTTAGGTGTTTCAAACAGTTTAATGAGGTCCGTGCCAGAGTGCTACACAGTACATATTATATCAAAAGGAAAAGTGCTAAATATCCAGCCAACAGGTTTCCCTCAAAGCATAAGCATCATACCAACTACATCGATGGAAGACTCATACTACAATCCCCAGGGAAATTCACAACCGGATCATTTGCATAATCTTCTTCCTGATACTTCAGATTCTGAAGATATGAACAGGTTTACTATTTGTACTATTCATAATAAATGCTATCATCTTCATAGTTTTCAAGCCTCTGAGATGCCTTTTACCTGTTAGTTGATGAAAATTATCAGCCTAATGGAGCCTTGTTCATGTGAGAACCATTTAACTTAAAATATTTATGATCCAACATAGAAAATGAGAAGGATGATGGATCACCAAAAACTCTACATGTCACAGCCAAATTGCTTGAGCATAATGGTTGAGGCTGGGGACAGCTCATTATGGGCACGCATCTTCAATTTTCCCTTTCAACTTTTATGGACATAATTGGTTCGATGGCTTTTCTTTGGCGCTCCATACATGCTCTTTTTATGGGATTCATTATTTTACATACAAATAGGAGAGCCTCTCCTTCACTAAATCAATTTTAATGTTTAGGAGTTATGTTGTTTATTTCCAGACTTTTCCTTTGACGATTTATCATCCTCCTACTATATTTGCTCTCTTCTGCTCTTGTTTCTTAATAGAACTTGTTTAAGAAAATATTTGGCATGATAGAAGTGGGAAAGAAAAATATGATAGAGACAGTTAAGACTTCACTGTTTCTATGGAGTTTTCACTCGTCTGAGTATATGTCCATGGTGCTTTCTTTAACTTTTTATTCATCATTGGGCTTTTGAATCTCTGCTACTCATCTTTTTAGGTCAATATCTTAGACGGTCTTTTTGTTTATACAGAAAATCATTCAAACATTTTTGGCCAGGCTCAGGTCTTGATAGGGTTTATGCTGGTGAAAACAACGACACTGTGCAGGTGGTAACTCATGAGTCCTCCGAAGAGGCTAATTTATCAAAGGTGGAAAAAAATAAGTCCTATGAAGAGGATAATTTAGCAAGATTAGTCGTTGAAAACACCTCACCAAAGTATTCATCAAATCAAAATTCCATTCACTGGTGACAATTCAAGGATGCTTAGTTCCCAGTTGGCTCCTTTGTTACCTGAAAAGCAAGCAATATCTGTGAACTCACACGGTCTCTGGAGGACCTCATCAAATGCCAAAGTAAGTACTGTAATATCAAATTGGTAGGACCGATCTCTCTTGGCATAAATTGATGTGGAGAACTATTTTGTCATTTCCATTTTAGAATAAAACCAAAGATGATGTACACTTCACTAAATTGATTTTGCTATCACATACGCATCACCTACTTTGATAGGAACTGATTTATTTGGCCTTGAAATGCATATTCACTTTTCCCCAATTGTGGAAACAAATTAATGGCTGTAAATAACTTTTACTTCATAGTCAGTCTTCCAGCTGACTCTAAGCAAACATTGAGAAAAGGATAAAAAACCTAGGTTTTCTGAATGCTTAAACTCGACGATCAAAAGTTACGCACGTAGTTTTTCAGTGTTAGTGCACTTTAATCTTTCTTTTCCTCTCCCTTAACTTTCAAATTGCATAGAGCTGTTTGGTTTTTATGGTTTATGTAAGTTTTAGTTTTCAAGTTTTGAGGCTATGGCACTGGCACTATTTCATCTCCCCTTCCCCTCTCTTCACCTCCTTTTATATTCTGGCTATGGTTATTTTCTTTGTAGAACAGTGGGTCATTTTCAATTAAGTTATCTCTTCTTGGCTGTTTATCTCCAGAGAATAAAAAGAGGTTCATACCTTAATGATACAGCATGTTTTTTAGATTACTGGTTGTCACAATTTGAAGTTCATTACTATTTCAGTAATCAATAACTAATTTCTTTTTAATTTTGAGCACATTTAACAAAAAAAAAAATTTCATGCTAATGGCCCAGATTTTATATACACAATATCCATTATATGATTTTATACACATTTCTTTCTCCTTTACATGAGCTGTCTGTCAGAAAGGCTTGAGTATTGAAATGAGGCAATTAAGCCTAGAATTGAAAAAAACAATGGAGAAGTATAGCTCAGCCTGTAGAGAAGCCATCGCAGCAAAACAGAAGGTATTGCATGTTATACATTCTACTCAAGCTTATCAAGTTTTAGAATAAACCACAGAAAGGGTGAGTTGGAAAAAAGTATTTTTATTTTAGGTAATGGAGCTTGAACAGATTATGCAAGAAGAAGAACGCAACTTAAAACATGCAGAAATAAGGGCCATGCAGGAAGAGGAAGAGAGGAAGACAGAATCAAATATGTTGACTCATGATAATATTCAATGTAGAAAATTCGATGTCAAGGACATTGAAGTTGCAACTCGCTGCTTTAATAGTCATTTGAAAATTGGTGAAGGTGGATGCGGATCTGTTTATAAAGGTGTGCTTGATTTCACTGATGTTGCAATTAAGGTCTTGAGACCAGACATAGACCAAGGAGAGAAGCAATTTCAACAAGAGGTACTTGCTAATGACTTTCTTTTTGGCAGAAACTAGGAGCATCAATATTGGCTTTGCTGTATGGAATCACATTTTATCAAATTGGAACTTGCTTTTCCCCCCAACTAGATTGTGAATCTATATTTTTCACCAAAGTTTAAAATGAGTCACATTATCCATGACTTATAAATAGTGTGGTTTATTATAAATTTTATACTGACATTTTCAAAGCTCAATAATCCCACATATTTGACATCATTAGGTTAGGCTCATCATTATTCACCTGCCGTTGCCTTACGTTACAATTTCTCTGTACACTTCATCAAGAAGTGAAAGTGAAAAGTGTATTTTAATGATACAAAAAGAAAAATGAAGAGTAACAATCGCTAATTTCATTTTGCAAATATAAATATATAAGAACTTTTATATTTAATTAGAGTCTCAGTTATCCTCTGTCTTGATGCTTCCAATGCAGTTTGAGATTTTGAGCACCATAAGGCATCCAAACATTGTTCTCCTGCTAGGTACCTGCCCAGAGTATGGATGCCTTGTGTACGAGTACCTGGAAAATGGCAGCTTAGAAGATCGCCTCTTCCAGAAAAATAACACTCCCCCACTTCCATGGAGAATTAGATTCAAAATAGCAGCAGAAATCGCCACCCGCCTTCTTTTCCTTCACAAGACAACACCCAAACCATTGGTGCACCGTGACCTCAAGCCATCAAACATTCTGCTGGATGGGAACTATGGGAGCAAGATAAGTGATGTTGGTTTGGCTCATCTTGTTCCTCCTTCTATACCTGACAAAACCACTGAGTATCACATAACAGCTGCAGTTGGTACATATTGTTATATTGACCCAGAGTATCAACAAACAGGATTATTGGGAGTAAAATCAGATATATATTCGCTAGGTATAATTCTGCTACAAATTCTTACTGCTGAGCCTCCTATAGGCTTATCTCTCCTTGTTGAGCAGGCCATCCAAGAAGGTACTTTTCAAGAGGTACTTGATGCAAGTGTGCCAGATTGGCCTGTTGAAGAGGCTTTATCTTGTGCTTTGTTGGCTTTAAAGTGCTGCGAGATGAGGAAAAGGGACAGACCAGACCTGGGTTCTGTTATTTTGCCAATGCTAAATCGACTCAGAGATCTGGGAGGAGCCATTGGAGGTGATGGCCTTCCTGCAAGCCAGGTTAGTTAACCTTTGAATTCACTACCCAAATGTACTTCTGAGTACTATAAGCTTCTCACATTTAAAAGTAAAGAGTATAGTCAGAGTCATGTGACCTATCGCCTATAGTCTCGTTGGCTGATAAACCAAGTTAAAACTGGGACAAATCAATAATGGAGAAAAAGAATGGCTCACCATGACTGTTATCTCAAATCTAGAAAAAACCATGTCCAAATGGCTCATCGTGACTATTATCACTGTTAGGTACGAGAGCGAAGGTGGCAACCCTTCAAGTCCATCGCCAACCTATTGAGCTTCAATCGTAATTCCGAGAAGCCAGGCCTCTTACCACCAACAGGGAAGAAGCATTTGGGGGAAAAAAGGACATTTACAGGGGCTGCTTCTCTTTAGTAAGTTGCTCCAAACACAACCAGAATCTAAAGAAGTTCCACTCTTTCTCTTCAATTGAGTGAGGGGATTTATTCATGAACTGCAACAAACGGACGAATCCCTTGTTGTCATTTTCTTCATCATTAATGTATCAATAGGGAAGGCATTCTTATTATCATAGGGAAGGCATTCTTTTTGTGATGAACTCATTTTAATGAATCTCCATGAACGCAAGGGAAGGCATTCTTTGCTGCATTGTATTCCAGTTTAGGATTATAGAATTGGCACTTTGGAAAATAATTATGCTAAATAAATATTTTATAAAGTTCATCAGTAACCTCTCGATACTAACCATGCCGATAAAAGAATCAATAAAAAATGTAATTTGCATACACGAAAAGAGAGACTAATTTATAGGGATTAATTTAATATAATATCCCCCGTTTTGACTAGTCAACTTTTGGAAAATTTTGATATTTTTATTTGTAATTTATAAGTGCATTTTGGTTATGGATCAGCACAACAAAATTTCAACTCAATCCTTTGTTTCTGCAGTCTATTTTTAGAATTTTTTGTGTTTAATTTAAAAGAGAGTGGCTACAGTGATTAGTTATCTTATTACGAAATTCTCCCTAATTTTAGCTTAGAAAAATAGCATAAAATATTTTATTAATTAAATTAAAGATGTTCAAAATAAAATTACTCCCTCAGCCTTTGTTAAAACATTCTCCTTACAAAATTATACGGTTTAAAAAAACAATTCAAATTAGTTTAAAACAATGCATGTATTCTTCCAATCTAAATATAAAACCTATCACTACAAAATAGATTTTATTTTAAGACTGAAAAATATAAAAATTGAATAATTTTTCTAAATATATTCTTATTTAATGAGGAAAATAAGAGAGAAAATTACAATAACAAGATAAGTAATGAAAGAGAATAAAATATAAGGAAAAAATGACAAAATAAAATAAAAAATTAATTAAAAATAAAATTGATAAAAACACACTGTTGAAACAATAATTTTAAAACCTCAAGCCAGTCAATTTCGTACACCTGTGCCAATGGACCGGCACGAACCGGTCTGATTTCCTACGATAAAGCGAAGAAAGCGGACCGGCTCCCCGCCACACCGCCCTTCCAGCTTGATATTTTCCCGCAAACCCATACAGCAGCCTTCCCTGTCCCTGTTCCGCTGTTCGCTCCTTTTTCTTCCGTCTTGCTGCCAACCCTTACCCTAATCGTCTGGAAGCTCTGCCAATGGCGTACCGTTCCCCTGATCGAGAATCAGGATCCGAACCGCAAACCCCAACGCGCCTTTATAATCCTTACAAGGACCTCGAAGTGCCCATTCGAAACCTATACCAGCTTCCAACGTCCCCTGAGTATCTCTTCGTCGAGGAGGCTCGCCGTAAGCGTCGATCCTGGGGTGAAAATCTCACCTTTTACACTGGCTGCGGCTACCTTGCGGGCGCCGTTGGTGGTGCCGGTGTTGGCCTCGTCGATGGGGTGAAATCTTTTGAATCCGGCGACACCACGAAGCTGCGGATAAATCGTGTCCTTAACGCTTCTGGTCATTCTGGTCGGTCTTGGGGTAACCGAGTTGGTATTATTGGATTGTTATATGCCGGTATCGAGAGCGGAATAGTGGCTGTGAGGGACACTGATGATGCGTGGAATAGTGTGGCGGCGGGGCTCGGTACTGGTGCATTATATCGTGCTGCGAGAGGGGTGAGATCAGCGGCGGTGGCGGGAGCTGTAGGCGGAGTTCTAGTCGGTGTGGCTGTTACTGCTAAGCAGGCGTTGAAACGATATGTGCCAATTTGAGAAGGTCTTATTAATCGAGATTTTAATATTAATTTAATTTAACTACTTATCAATTTTGAGCGATTATTGAGGCAGAAGGTTTAGATTATACCACCACGTTGCACTTGGTAATGGTAATAGTGCTTTTGTTGCAAAATATTGATTAAATGCATATTTTTCAGTCAGATATTGGCCAACTCTTGGAATGAAATTTATAGATTCATCTTGTAGCAACCAATTAAAATGGGTGGAAATTCGGGTGCAGCATGAAATTTATATCTGTTCCATTTTTTCTATTCATTTGATGAATGTATAGCTTGTCGATACATTGAAAATTATGAGATTTTAATGCGAGAGCCCTTTGCTGTTATGATATATTACTGAATGGAACCCGAGTATGTTAATGCATTATGGATTTAAGGGCATTTCTTGTTAAGATGGTCTAATATTCTGATTGTAGACCATCGTATTCGTACACTTGATAAGGCGGCAAGAGGCAAGGCTAATATAAATTACTAATATTTGATGGTTTCTGATAGAATGTTGATTCTGATGGCTTGACATGGAAGTTCTTTCTTCAAGTTGGAATATGTTTATGTTGTTCAGAGATTTTGCATTCTACATCAAATCCTTTTCCTAAAGTATCCAAGGCTTGTAACGAATTAGGCATTCATATAATGAGTCATTTGGTATTAGGCTGAAAGAAGTATCTCCTTTTTGAGATAGGAAGCACATATAATTATTATTTTACAGTTAAGATGCCTTCCTGCTGGAGTAAAATTTTGGTAGTTTACAGATCGTAACTAAGCTGCATCTGATATTGTCAAACAAACTCCTTCTTTGTAAAGATACAAGTTGGTCTAAGGAGCAGCTTTCCTTGTCAGAATTAAGTAAGCTGACTACTTGAGTATAGATTTTAGGCTCCTTGCAAGTCTTTAGTTTGACTTTTGAAGTCGTCCTTTTGGCCCTTGCAGGTTGCAACCTAGATTTTATAATTTATAGTTGATTACTTCATAAATGGTAGACTTCTAATCAGTGTTGAGGTTTCCTCTGCTGCATTCCTCGGCGTGAAATAAGCTGGAACCTTTTTTCCTTGAGAGCTAATAAATCTTCTATCAATTGAGATTTTCTTTTTAGAAATCCTGAGATGTCCTTGTGAATTTCTCTTTCCTGCATGGCAAGCTTTTGATGAGGGATATTTTTTTACAGCAGAAATTTGCTATGAGAGCCTGTTTAGATTATTTTCCAATGACAAAACATTTGAGTGTTTGACACCGCACAAAGGAACAGAGACAAGGAAAGGTTACACTGTTATTGGTTACTGCGTCCAAATTTATGGAGATTAGCTTGCGCATAGTTCCTGTAAGTGGATTTGCTTTTCTGTTAAGCGGTTTCTGATAAAACCAGAAGGCAGCTCTAGGATCTATCACTTGTTGCGCTGTCCCCTGCTCCCCTGACAGTATTTAAACCCTTTCTTAGTGAATTTACATGCCTTATCATCTCTTAAAGTCTGTTGTGGTAGGTGATATAGAAGACTTGTACATGGATGGGCTGTTTTCCCTTTCAGAAAATGTCAGTGTGATCATGCATATTCTGCTATGTTGCGGAGTATTCATTTGTCCAATGCATATTTTTAGGTTGAAAATGGCCACTTGCACTAAGTTTACTCAGAAAATCAGCATGTAATGAATAACCAGAATCCGTTTAAATTTGGAGATAGCGTAAAAGTTCGTTACTATTGCACACCCACACATAATTAGATTAATTAAATTAATGCGAATGAGATTGTCGGTGTTATATCGAGTTAATTGACTGTGTGATGAATCCATGATAAGCGTTGGCGAACAAGTGAATGTATTGATCGGCACCTTGCTTAGAGACCAAGTTGGTTGTGAGATTGTTGGCATGAACACAAATAAGCGCGTTCCTGAGAATAATTAAAGGGGTGTCTGGATAGAAACAAATCATGGTTTTAAAAGTATTTTTACGGTTTACAAAGTAAATATGTGGAGGGTATTGTTTCGTTTTGCAAAAAGTGCTCTGAGAAGGATTTGAGGGTTGCCAAACACCCTCTAATTTGTTGTGGAAGTACTTTATGTTTCATGCTACTCACGTCTAAAGATCCCTCTTTGATAAGGTTTAGGCTGTCTTTTATGATATCTTAGATAATGAATTCTTTTGATTCTCATTTCCATATTTTATGGTTGGCTGGTAAAGTATGATGTGCTGAATAATATCAAGGGAAAACCAATCCTCTTTTGTCCTTATAATTTTATTGTATTTTCTCTTATATGCAAGTCATTTGTACCTCATTTTTGCATAGTAAAAAATACGTTTAAGTTGATATATAAGTTTTCACATTTATAAAAAAGATATTTAAAAAAAATTTGGAGAATTACACTGAGGTCATAAAGAAAGGAAAAAAATTATAGAACAGGTCTTAAAGGTTGTTATTCTCTACTGAGAATTGTCATTACAAGTTGCTTAGGTTAAGATTTGGATCTTTGAGTAATTATTTTTATTTCTTGAAACTTGATTATAATTCTCCCAAAAAGGCATGATGCATATTTTCTCACATTTTTTTGTTATATTCAATAGAAGTAAAATTAAGAAAAAGTTATTAATTAGTTTATAAGTACTTATATTTAGAAGTAAATTTTTTTTCTCTCATCACTGATGTGAGAACATGGTGATATCTGCTATATATATATTTGGTTGTCCAAGAGTATCTTCTTATCTCAACGATAAAAAGACTAATTTCTTGCAGTATTGTTGGCATCCCTGATCAATGTTATTTTTTTCTGTCCCAAGAGTCAGACCTGGAACATAATAATCAAGTGTCCAAGTCTTTTTCCTTCGAACCAACACTTTGTTCCAGTAAGTGATACAAGTGGGTCATGGTGTCTCCAAAGATGGAGTCGGTGACATAGTGGGTGCAACTTTGTTCCAGGAAAGGCCCAAATAATTGTTTAGAGTTCGTCTGTGACAAGCTAAGGCCCAAACTTTGATTGGGCGGTCCAGATTCTCCTTGAAAGTCTCAACTCTGTCCTTATGGATATAGCTCATGTTTGACCTGTACTGTACTGTTCTATTATTGTTTTAAAAAAGTAATGAAATTATAAATAAAAAAAAACGATAATTTAAACCATCCAATTTGATCTAGGTCTATATTTATTGAAGGCAACAAGTCCTAACAACCCCATACCGCTATTTTGATCTTGTACGTAAGTCACTTGTAGGATAATTAATGACACTTTTTTTTTTCAATTTTACCTCAATTGGATATACAATAAAAGAAATTGGTGAAATAGGTGAGAAAAAAAAGTACATCGTATTTTTTCAATACCTTCTTTTTATTGTGAGCAAATGTGAACAATTTTATTAATTTAATGCATTTTTAGATATACAAGAATGAGGTGTATAAGTGACACATAAAAACAGTGTTATGTGAAATGAACGTAAACAGCCATGCGTACAGACTCTGCACACTGCACTTGGTTTCAAAAGCGTCATTTGGGGGCGTGAAGTTTGGAAATTCATGCACGTAGGCATGGAGCGGAGAAGTGTGAAAACTGGAAAACACAGAGGCATATGTACATAGAGAGGTGTGAAACTATGACTCTGATTCAGATGCATTGTGGTCACTGTTCACATGAAGGGTGAATTATAGGGCCATCTTTCATTTGTCCGATCCTTTCCATTATCATATTCACGATATATATTACCGATCGATCTCTGCACTTGCATGATTATCATCATTTTGGTATCAGAGTCAAGACTCGTCATATATATAACTGCATGCAGAATGCGATGCTGTCATCTTCTCGTTCTTCTCCATCAAAACGCATGGCTGCCACACTCACTTCTCACTCAACACGTACGTCTTCACCTTGAATCCTGCGCATGTGTTTGTTTGGCTGTGAAGTGCGACAGTCATCTCGAAACGCATATTGTCCCCTTCTTCATCAACACTACCAATTCAGAATCTATACCCTCCAAAAATGCTGAACAGTGGGCCCTATCTCATCTACAGTATCACTTTCGATTCTTAATATAAAATCTTTTTTTTTATTTTGGCTCTAAATATGAGTCCCCAATTCACTTTATCTCTCATATTTATATTTTTTTTTCAAGATAGTCCTTCTAACAATAATAATTTTAACCAATACACTTGATTAGTAAGATATTTTAAGAAAGACAACACTTATTTATTACAAATAACTAACTTAACTTCTTTCCTTAATCTCCTCGAATTAGTCAATTAGCTCTTATAAATAGACTGAAAGTAGTATTTATTTATAATCTATGAATAGTATAGTACAGTGTTGTGTAAATATTGAGTTATATAGATATATAGAGAGAGAGAGAGAGAGACGGGTAGCGTTGAAGACGATAAATTGTCCAACTTCCCAAACATCTTCTTTACACACACACTGCACAGCACGATCTAAATCTACTACACACAGTTTTTGTTTTATCGACTTTTAAGGAGCATTTTTGAATAAGTTCACTGGTTAGAGATTGTGATTGTTCTGTGCATTATTTCTGATCGCTCCCAACTGCAATAATATTTGTTCTTATCAATTAAGACACTCTTCTGATCGATGTACATTATATATATACATATAGATATATGTGTGTGTATATATATATAACAGTGATAGTGATCATAAACCTCCAGAGGCTCTGGGACCCAAGCAAGCTCGTCTAACTGCACTAAACAATGTAGCTTATTCAGAGTCCGTATATAGTTTTTAATATCCTGTCGGTATTTTTTTGTCCGGATATGGGAAAATATTATATGTTGGAGAAATTTATATTATATATTCTTTTTATTTATTAAAAGTCTGAGTGAAAATACTTCACTGTTCACATTGTGAGTAGTGTTGTTTGTACATAAACATTTTATATCATTTAAATTTTACTGTTATTTTAAATGAAACTTTTTTCTCATGCTTGGTCATAATACTAAGCCTTCTTCTTATTAATAAGGGTAGTCAAAATAAAAAAAAAAACTAAGAATATAATATGGATAATGAGAAATGGAGGGCATCATATCTTAATTTATATTAATTGAAAACTTAAGTTTATGCAACTGTTTGATAAACATGGAAGGTAAGAGTGATCGAAATAATCTCATGGAAAAAAATGATATTTTTCCTTTCTCACTTTGCTCTTTTAAATAAACAAAGTCAATTATTTAGAATAAGAAAAATAATAAATATTAATAAAATAGAACACCTTTCTCCATTCCAACTAAATGTAGATGGACTAATAAATGCAAGCAACAAATTTTGAAATAGAAGGAGATAAATAAATTATCAGTTGAATGGAATGAGGCCACGTGACTCTATATATAGTTTTTAAAATCCAATGACAAAATCTTTTATCAAAATCAATTTAATTGGCTCATTTCTTAAATCTCATAGATTTATATTGTGGGCAGAGATATATAGTGGCATTTAATTTCATACAACCACCGAACCTAATTCTTTGCTCACTCCATTCTTTCGCAACTCTATTTTGTTATGAGATATATCAAAATAATAAATGTAAGATTTTTGCCAGCTAATAAATGTAAGTTTTAATCGCTTATTTTATTAGAAAAATAACATCTCTTGTACACATTATATATACATATATATGTGTGTGTGTGTGTATAACAGTGATAGTGATCATAAACCTGCAGAGGCTTTGGGACCCAAGCAAGCTCGTCTAAGTGCAATAAACAATGTAGCTTATTCAGACGATCCATGTATAGTTTTTAATATCCTGTCGGTATTTTTTGGTCCGGATATGGGAAAATATTACATGTTTAGGTCTTTTTATTTATTAGAACTCTGAGTGAAAATACTTCACTGTTCACTAGTAGATATATAAACTTTTCTTGACCCAAAGTGATCATTTGGCATTACTAAACGTTACTATTAACATCGTGAGTAGTGTTGTTTGTGCATAAACATTTTATCCATTTAAATTTTACTGTTATTTTAAATGAAACTTTTTTCTCATGCTTGGTCATAATATTAAGCCTTCTTCTCATTAAGGGTCGTCAAAATAAATATAAAAAAAACTGAGAATATAATATGGATAATGAGAAATGGAGTGCATCATGTCTTAATTTATATTAATTGAAAACTTAAGTTTATGCAACTAAATAATCTCGTGGAAAAAAAATGATATTTTTCCTTTCTCACTTTGCTTTTTCAAATAAACAAAGTCAATTATTTAGATTAAGAAAAAATAATAAATATTAATAAAATAGAATACCTTTCTGGCTTCCACCATTCCAACTAAATGTAGATGGACTAATAAATGCAGGCAACAACTTGTGAAATAGAAGGCTATATATAAATTATCAATTGGTTGGCAAAAGATAAAAAATAAATAAATTATCAGTTGAATGGAATGAGGCCACGTGACTCCGTATATAGTTTTTAAAATCCAATGACAAAATCTTTTTATCAAAATCAATTTAATTGGCTCATTTCTAGATCTTAATACGTTTATTATATTGGGTAGAGATATATAGTGGCATTTAATTTCATACAACTGCCAAACCTAATTCTTTGCTTTTACTCCATTCTTTCGTAAATCTTGTTCGCATATCAATTATGAAGTATGTCAAAATAATAAATGTAA